ACACTGACACTATTTCTTTTAAGATTTTACAAATAGGTCATATAAAGGGTGAGTATTTATCTTCTAGCCTGTGATAACTGGGACATTATCCCAAGATAATCCCCAACCCCAGGAGGGATTTGGATAAGCAATTACTTTCATTCTAGTGGTATGGTTTGATGGTTTATTTTAAATGAGAAAGATGAAGGACGGTAACATAATTGACTGTAATGTGGCCAATTACAACATAACATATGTCTCCTTCACTGGGAGATCTTTCATTAAAAAATAACAACAACAAAATCCTTAGATTACACTGGCCAATAATTTATCCTGTAAAGACTATGATTTCTATGAGCTATATAAATACATTTTAAAGCATTAATTATGTGAAGGTATTCTAAAGTATTAGTTCAATATTATTGAGAAGAATTCCCAGGCACCCTCTTTTTTTTTGTTGTTTCTCAATTATCTGAGTGATGAAAATTAAATATGTTGTATGACTCAGGTAACTTGGATTTGAATGTTAGCTTTGCCATTTCACAACTGTGAGTTTTTGAGCACCTTATTTATTTTTATTCTTATTAATTTTTAAATTATGAATAATAGTTGCCCACCTCATCAGATTCTTGTGAGGACTGGGATAACACCTGTAAATACCTAGCCCCTTATTCAGCAGATGATACTCATTTAAGGACTGTTAGCTTTCTCTTGCTTTTGCAATTATAGCAAATATATACACACACTTCAATGAAAAAATAAAAAATCATTAGCAAGTAGAATTTGCCCCAAATAACTTTTAATGGATATTTAACATTCAAAAAATAAATTAGCACAATTCACTATATTATCATTCTAAAAAGAAAAATAAATAATAATCTCAAAGGATGAATTTGATATAATTCAGCATTTATTCATAACAAAGTAACTCAACAAATAAAAAACACGATAAACTTCCTGAACTTGTTAAAGGGCATATGCAAAACTCTACAGTTAACAGAATAGGAAACAAGGAGACGATGCATGCCCTCATCACTTCCACTATACATGGCGTTGATGACTCTACACATGCAATAAGGTAAAAAATAAATAAATAAATAAGAAAAAAATAAAATTTGGAAGGAAGAAAAAAATAGCACCTCAATTCAAAATTTTAAATGTAAAAATCGCCATTTGTAATAACATCAACCCCCAAGAGCCCTTTTGCAGAAACTTAACCTGAAATTAAATAGTAAAAGGTCTGAAAATAGCCAAAATCTTGGAAAATTGATTATATGACAGTCACTATCTGATTTTAAGATGTGCTACGAAGCTGCAATAATCAAGATAGTAATCAAGAAAAGCATAAGGACTTCAGAAATTGATTTGAACACATATTATCAATTAAATTTCATGCATAAAACAACAGCAATATTGGTCTGTAGAAAAAGGATAGTCTTTTGAAAAAAATAGTAGTAGATGAATAGATGAAAGGGAGAATAGATGAAAAAGAAGGAAAGGAGAAAAGAAAGGAGGGAGAGAGAGAAAAAAGAGGGAGCAAGGGAGAGTGGAAGGAAGGAAGGAAAGAAGGAAGGAAGGAAGGAAAGAAGGAAGGAAGGAA